GCTACTCCAAATAAATCTCATACTTGTCGGTTAGGTTGGCACGATATTGCTGATCTGCACAACTTTAATAAATATCGGACAACCGTGGCATTTTACCGTGCTCTGGAAGTTGCTAAGGAGCCAATACAGCTGCTCGCATATATGCTCCCCAGTAGCAAGATATTGAACTCTATATCATTTCATAAGACTGCACAATATTTAATGACATTAAAGAAACGATATCTAGAGAATACAGCGTATGTGGGTGTCTCACGGTCTTTGAATGGGAGAGTGAAGACTCAGTTGCATGATTTTAAACGACATATTGAACACGTAAAGCGGAGCAAACATGTCAATCCGTTGCAGTTCTATTGGAATCACGGACGGTGGCGCTTTTTAAGCAGGCAGCAGTTGTGGCTGTTGAAAGAAATATTTTGTCTATATCGATCAAGCATAAGCGAAACGACAATCGGGTGCCCATGGTTCCTACGGAAACACTGACAATATTTCACCCAACAATGCGGTGATCCTACGAACCTTAAACCAATACGTATCGCTGTGATGACTTCGATGACGTGATGGCACTCCTCTACCGGATGTCATACAGAATACTTGCAAAACTATCATGAACAAGTTACACCAAACCAAGGGCGAATTTAGTCGACACGCAGAAGCTAGGCAACTGACAATATACAACGCACAGAACCCCGAAATTATGCATGTGAAGAATGTGTTAGATGGATCTCATGCTGAAAACGAAACGATTACATCACTTTCAACTCTAAACTAAGTGATTACAGGAAGATGTTTGTCGCCTCCCAGGGAGATACAAGGGTAGGTGATGCAGATCGATCGGTCATTCATGAGGCAGTCGCAGATAAGAGTACTTCTTGCGCAGCTAAAGGTACTTCTTGCGCAGCTAAGGGTCCTTCGTGCGCAGCTAAGGGTATCTCTTGCGCAGCTAAGAGTACTTCTTGCGCAGCTAAGGGTACCCCTTGCGCAGCTAAGGGTACTTCCTGCGCGGTTATGGGTACTTCCTAAGGGTACTTCTTGCAAGGCTTCAACTTCGAATCAGTTACAGTCTACTTCAATTATTCAAGCTACTAAAATGTTACACAATACTACTAGGTTGAGATAGATGTTTTCAAAGGTTGCAGCTTGCACTCTAAAGTTAGTATGGTATATTAAACATGCAAGCCAAAGTTATACATTTCCTGAATAGCACTATTGGTATGGTTGATTGTATGCTTTTTTATTTGATACTGACGATGGACGTCCATAACCATGACGTGCACGACCAACACAGACGTACACCAAAACTCACCCAATTTTCTTCCTAGAGACTACTATATTAAACAATCCGGGATAATATACGTCTCGAGGTAGAAATGTAAGGACGGATAGGATAATTTAATAAAAGCCTTAAGTGAACTAGCGACTTAATACAGGGCTGGCATTAGTTCTCAACATATATCCGTCACGATTTATATATGTATCTGCGTAGGTTGAAACGCCCTTTTATATATTGTAGATACTAATTTAATAACTGGGCAGACTGAGGATAGCCTTTGCACGGCGCATGCAATTTTGCTATCCCTTATACCTAAACAGCGAAACGAGCAGATGTAGTGGAAACTTCTCGAAACTGCACATTGTCAGTCTTTTACCAGCTCAGATGATTCGCAAACTTTGTAGACAATATCAACTTCATAGACAATTGTGGACGCACGCGATGTCTTTGGATACGAAAATACGAATGCTTCTCAAAGTGTATTTCTTGAACCTTTTTTTCGTACGTTATCAGTCCTGAATCGCCGTTGAAATTACAGTGTTGATTACATACATATCATCTGTAGGTTGCGGTAGACCCATCTGAGTTGTATATCTTTTTCCAGGGTGTAATTTTGAATCAACTCACACAGTATTGACAGGGCGCTAAAATACAACTCCAAATGTTTTTCAAATATTCAAGTCGTCGGGTAAAAAGTCAACACGGAGTACCGATGCACATCAAGCTTTATCTAATGGTTGTTTGAGAAAGGGAGTAGTTACAGATGTATAGTATGTGTACCGCTCGATTGTTCGAATAAGTGTAAACTGATTGTTTCTCTCAAACTGATTTGACAACAAGTACGAGAAGAGAACCAAGTGCAGTTAAGCGTATACATGCTGTCAGAGACAACGCTTTGACTGTCTTCGCTATTTCCAGCAATTCGGCGTCAAATATGAGTACATAATTGAAATTTATGAGCCAGTACAGACGTAACATTGATATAATTGGTGATTTAATATCACTACAGAAGCATTCCGATTTAAAATCACTACGGTAGCACTTCGATTTAAAATCACCACAGAAGCACTTCGATTTAAAATCACTACAGAAGCACTGCTATTTAAAATCACCACAGAAGCACTCCGATTTAAAATCACTACAAAAGCACTGCGATCTAAAATCATTACAGAAACACTCCGATTTAAAATCACTACGGAAGCACTCCGATTTAAAATCACTACAGAAGCACTCCGACTTAAATTCACTACAGACGCACTCGGATTCAAAACCACGACAGAATTCCCGAATTTGAAATCATTACAAAAGCACTGCGATACGCACTCGAATTTAAAATCACTATAGAAGCACTCCGATTTAAAATCACTACAGACGCACTCCGATTTAAATTCACCACAGAAGCACTGCGATTGAAAATCACTACAAAAGCTCTGCGATTTAAAATCACTACAAAAGCACTCTGATTAACATTGCTTCAGCTAATGTCACACGGAGCCGGTGATCTTCCTAGGGGCCATGTTGATCATACGAGGGGGTTTGATACACTAGAGGTGTATGGTATCACGTTAAGTAAACCCAAGTAAGACGTATCAGATACACTTAATTTCTATACTAATTTTTATTATCTCATAGCTGGTACAAGTATAGACAAGCCGCACCATCGGGCTACAGAGCCACCTGTGTGAGTTCCACGGTGGTCTGACGGACTTCGCACACTTCTTTACCCCAGATCTGATTGGCTTGCCGCACACGTTCCTGCAATTATGATTGGTCGATGGGTGTGCATGTTGCATGTTACTTCTGTTCACGGATACTTACAGAGACGGAATACGACCCTTGATATGCACACCCACAAAGGCAATAGCGGGGGGGGCTTAGTATGTATTTAATATACTTGTATGAACCACAAAAGAAGTAGCGGGAGTTCCAGTATAGTTTGATATACTAGCAAGAACCGCCGTATATTAAACAAGGGTTTAGGGTTTAGGGTTTAGAATTTGTAAGAACCGCCGCATAGCTGCGACATACGCCAATGACAAGACTCGCACTCGTTCTATATGTCAAAGTCTATGTGATACCATAATAAAGCGTATAGCGTGTGTGTTTGTATATAGTGTGGTACAAGTGATGTCTGGCTAAGTTTAGAGAGTGTGTGTTTGTATATAGTGTGGTACAAGTGATGTCTGGCCAAGTTTAGAGTGTGTGTGTTTGTATATAGTGTGGTACAAGTGATGTCTGGCTAAGTTTAGAATGTGTGTGTTTGTATATAGTGTGGTACAAGTGATATCTGGCCAAGTTTAAAGTGTGTGTGTTTGTGTATAGTGTAGTGCAAGTGATGTCTGGCTAAGTTTAGAGTGTGTGTGTTTGTATATAGTGTGGTACAAGTGATGTCTGGCTAAGTTTAGAGTGTGTGTGTTTGTATATAGTGTGGTACAAGTGATGTCTGGCTAAGTTTAGAGTGTGTGTGTTTGTATATAGTGTGTGTTTGTATATAGTGTGGTACAAGTGATGTCTGGCTAAGTTTAGTGTGTGTGTGTTTGTAGGAGAGATCACAGAAACAGTCTTAACACCGGGGTAGAACTCGCGCACGGCGACGTCTGACTGATTGAAAATCATTGGTGACAAGCTAATCTCTGTATCGACCTTGGTGAAACTCTAAAACCCTAAACCCTAAAACCAATCGGGCTTGGGTTCATATGGTACTCTGGGCAAGACTCTCTCAGCTGGGCGTTTGTTCTGAGATGTCTATGGCGATACATTATAGTTATTATTGCATGTAGTCCAATACGCATAAACGAGGCAAATGCGGGGTGGTGCAGAGACGGATATATATTCATACCACTGCGTATATATTCATATCACTATGTATATAATCATACCACTGTGTATATGTTCATACCACTGTGTATATATTCATACCACTGTGTATATGTTCATATCACTATGTCTATTCATACCACTATGTATATATTCATATCACTATGTCTATTCATATCACTATGTATATATTCATATCACTATGTCTATTCATATCACTATGTCTATTCATACCACTAGGTCTATTCATACCACTATTAATATAGGATAGAACACTCACTACACACTGGCACAATCAATGTATACAACACCATCGGCTCTGTGAGTGTGAAGCATTTCGGTACCTGAAGCTGAGTAGTCCAATGACCCATACGCTCCTCCCAAGTCTCCGCCAGACTATCGGCTATGCATCCCGGTATGCTGAAGGATGTAAACCGGTACGGAGCAGTTCGGAACCAAGCACCCGGACCCGTTTCTGAGGGGCTGGGTGCAGAGAACTCACAGTCGTACAGGCGCAGGGGAGTCATGGATAGGCAATTGGCAGTGGATAGTACATGATCGTACCAGTAGAGACACTGCAATTCCGAGGATAAGACGGTTAACTATATGTACACACACAGACACAGACACACAGACACAGACACAGACACAGACACAGACACAGACACACATATATATATATAAATATATACGCACACACACATACACACATACATATATACATACACGTACACATCCACATCCATATACACATACACATACATGTCTATATACTACTGACAGATACAGTTTGGAGTGCGATTGCACCAGCACACACACAAAAAACATATCACTGGCACGAATTCATGGAGGTTCGATAACATTAACGGGGAGACTATCCACATATACGGCGTGGATACACATACAGAAGACGTATGGAATTGCGAAGTTAAAAAAAACACACATACACGTACACATACACATACACATACTCATGCACATGCACATGCAAATACACATACACATGCACATACACATACAAATACACATACACATACACATACACACTTCTGGCAAGTACGTATCGAAAAAACCGCCTGCCCCAAAAGATAAATATAACAAACAAAAAAACCAACTAGTATAACAAAAGAAACCAAAAGATCGCACATATACACATAACACATACATAACACTCCCAGACACATACATATATAACACATACATAACACTCCCACACACATACAGAACACATACATAACATTACACACAAATATAGAACACATACTTAACACTCACACACACATACAGAACACATACATAACATTACACACAAATATATAACACATACATAACACTCATACACACATACAGAACACATACAGAACATTACACACACATACATAACACATACAAAACACTCACACACACATATAGAACACGTACATAACAAAACACATACATAGCACAAACACACACATACATATCACAGACAAGCGTACCGGATAGTCCAGTATAAACCCATACAGCGTAGACAGGTTAATGGTGTGTGGGTACGTTATAGTTACGGTAGAGCCTTCGCCCGCGAAGGTGTCTACGGTTGCGCTGTCACAGATGTCTCCGGGGTGCACGGCCCTGTCCTGAAATTTCGGGTTGGATGCACGGGACAATTAGAATGGAACAGTGTGTGTATATGGGCAAAGGAAGAGTACGTAGCTGTCCTGTAGTCATGGTTTGGGTGTACAAGACATTTCGAAAGGAGGTGTGTGTTAGAGGGCAAACCCACCAACGGTCCTATATTCTCGGAGTGGGTGCACCGGCCCTGTATTCTCGGAGTGGGTGCACCAGACATTCAGAATACGACACTTACTTACACACACGTAGACAAAACACTTGTATACACATACACGTAGACTAAATACTTACATATACACACGTAGACTAAACACGTACGCACACACACGTAGACTAAATACTTACATACACACACGTACACACACACACGTAGACTAAACACGTACATACACACACGTAGACTAAACACTTATACACACACACGTAGACTAAACACGGACATACACACACGTAGACTAAACACGGACATACACACACGTAGACTAAACACGGACATACACGCATGTAGACTAAATACTTACATAAACACACACACAGACTAAACACGTACATACACACACCTAGACTAAATACTTATATATGCACACGTAGACTAAACACGTACATACACACACGTAGACTAAACACGTACATATACACACGTAGACTAAACACGTACATACACACACGTAGACTAAATACTTATATACGCACACGTAGACTAAACACGTACATACACACACGTAGACTAAAAACGTACATACATACACGTAGACTAAACACGGACATACACACACGTAGACTAAAACGTACATACATACACGTAGACTAAACACGGACATACACGCATGTAGACTAAATACTTACATAAACACACACGAAGACTAAACACGTACATACACACACGTAGACTAAATACTTATATACGCACACGTAGACTAAACAAGTACATACACACACGTAGACTAAACATGTACATAAACACACGTAGACTAAGCACGAACATACACACATGTAGACTAAACACGTACATACACATACGTAGACTAAACACGTACATACACACACGTAGACTAAACACATACATACACACACGTAGACTAACCACTTATACACACACACATACATACAGACACGGAGACAAAACATGTACATACACAGGTGCCACATTCACACCCCCGTTTCTCCTGAGATACCTCGACTGCAGCTGTCAGCTGTTCTGTAAAGTGTTTTAACACTCCGACAATAGAGCTATGCCATCGACTGCTCATGTGTGTGTCATGCCGAACGAATGTGTGCAATGGCTGTGCTAAGTTGGATGTGACGTTGACGATAAGAAGCGATTCTGTGTGTAGGAGGATATGGAAACGGGCCATAGTGTGAGTTTATGTGGAGGGGGTGTGGCGGGTGGGTGTATGGATAGGTATGCTGGATATGAATATAGGATACACACACAAAACACACACACACAGGTATGATTTTATATATATATATATATATATATATATATATATATATATATAGTATATATATACATACACACA